GGAGGTGGAGCAGGGGGTGGCGGCGGAGGTTACCGCCCCATCATTCAGTCCCCTGGTTATAAGACGGGCAAAGGCGGCTATGGGGCAGCTGCGGGTGGTGCCAACAGGCCCCCACCGCCTCGTTCAACAGCCACACCCAAATGCCAGAGCCTGGGTGGTCCGGCAGCGGCCTATGCCACTGGGAAGGCCTCTGGGGCTGGCGGGGCGGGAGGCCAGGCCTATTCTCCTGGTCAGCCCCAGGGGCTTCTAGGACCCCAGGCCTATGGGCAAGGGTTTGGAGGGGGTCAAGCGCAGGACTTGAGCAAAGGCCCTAGCTACTCGGGGGGGCCTCCCCAGCCCCCCAGTGGCCCCCAGCCTCCTGGCCTAGCCACGTGTCAGAGCTACTCCCCTGACCAGCTGCAGGGGCAGCTGTATGGGGTGCAGGGTGAGCCGTACCCAGGGCCAGCTGCCCACTCCCAGGGGCTGCCCACAGCCAGCCCCTCACTCAGCTATAGTACTGGCCATTCCCCGGCGCTCTCGGGCCACGGAGGTGGCTGGGGTCCCAGCTCCCTGGGTGGCGGCGGAGAGGCCAGCCCTTCTCACATCATCCGCCCGCTGCAGTCGCCGCCTGCCCCTGGTCGCCCGCCTGGAGTCGGCTCTCCAGGAGCCCCTGGCAAATACCTGAGCTCCGTCCTGGCCTCAGCCCCATTCCTGGCACCCCCGGGAGCCGGCAGCTATGCAGGCGGAGCAGGTGGCTACAAAGGCAAGGGGGATGGCTCGGAGTTGCTGGCAGGCCCCGGGGGGCCTCCCGCTGAGCGCACGGAGGACGAGGAGTTCCTCATCCAGCACCTCTTGCAGGCGCCCAGCCCCCCGAGGACCTCAGGAGCCGATGGCTTGGTGGGCGAAGATGGGGCGGCAGACGCCTCCAAAGGACTTGGGGGGAGTGGCGGGGCTGGGGGTCCCCCGGGCACGCCCTATGAGCTGGCCAAGGAAGATCCCCAGAGGTACCATCTGCAGAGCGTCATCCGTACCAGTGCCAGCCTCGATGAGGGTGCCACCGCAGCCCTGGAGCTAGGCCTGGGGAGGCTGAAGGAGAAGAAGAAAGGGCCGGAACGGGGTGGTGAGACCCCCGAGGGGCTGGCCACCTCAGTTGTCCACTATGGGGCAGGTGCCAAGGAGCTGGGGGCCTTTCTCCAGAAGAGCCCGCCACCCCCGCCTCCCACGGCCCAGCCTGCCCAGCCCACGCCCCATGGCCTCCTCCTGGAGGCCGGAGGCCCTGACCTCCCGCTGGTGCTGCCTCCTCCTCCCCCACAGCTGCTGCCCTCAGTCCTCAGCCACACCCCCAGCCCGTCCTCCAGCACCCCCAAAGGCAGAGTCCACATCCTT